AAAAAAAAAAAAAAAAGGTTGGCGGCCAAAAAAACGCCATATTGGTGGCGTAGATATCACGTGATGTCACATGGGTTTCTGAAATACCTAGGCCGTTCACATTTTGAATCCTTATTAGGAAATTAGTACGTGATTGGCGCCATAGTCTAGTGGATACGACATCGGTCTCCGGAACCGAAGGTCGCGGGTTCGAATCCCGCTGGCGTCGGATCCTCCTTTGATGTTTTAGAATGTCAAATTTTCTTTTTGGGAAAATGGCCAGTTCTGGGTTGACCTTGACCTAGTCAATCGTCGAATTGATACATTCCATTTATGGTCATTAGACTATCAGATTCCTGCCGTTGAGCGGGACTCTAGCCATACCACCATGAACTTTTTATCCATCGAACTGGAGCTATTAGATCCGTCGAAGTATTGCCATCTTTTTTTTTCAATAGCCGTATTCGTCTTTTTTTTTTCAAAGTCGGACACCCTACATCTAGAATCAACTGCATTCATATTGGACAATGAATGAAAAATAGTGGTCGTCGACTACCAGGCAGCAGCTCCCTTGCGTGTGTCTTCTGAAAAGAATATGGCTCTAATGATATAAAACTTGAGGAAAGATCAGAGTTGGCTTCTAATTCAGGAAATATTCAAAGGTGGTGTCAGAAAATAGAGGAGTGTGTAAAATTACAAAATAGTAATTACATGCTACTAGGATCCATGTAGAACGGAGCAAACAAAGCATGTTTCCTTGGATAAAACACATGCATACTCCGGATTGATGCTCAAAATTGAATCGTACTCCTTCAATCCGACCGCTGGCTGAATAACCGAGGGTGATCCGGCGGACAGATATCTTCGACAATGAATAAATATTTCATCTGTGCGATTTTCGCGATTAGAGGAATATAATGTTCTAGATTGAACGCAGCTGATATGATCAAGCCTTATCATTTTGTTGTTGGAGACATTTACGCGCAACTCGGATTGTTTAGTTTTTACATTGCACGGTAAAGTCTTCTCCTTATTCTATTGAAGCTGGAATTCCAGCTTGTGCTACGGAACTTCTGGCTTCTTGCAAGGGAAAACTGAAGACAGCAGCCAATCTTTCCTACTCGTGCAGTCTGTGGGAGAGATTTATTGGTGCCACAGCGAACATCTCATTCTCTTGAGTCGTTTCTATGAGGCCAAGCCAAGCAATTTTAAGTCCTCTAAGCAGAAGTGCTGGAGTAGTACCGTATGCTGCGATCCTCTGCGACCGAGACAGCCTTGTTGCCCTGCTTGTTCCATGCGAGACCCCACACCTGTCCCGAATGTCCGTCCAGGGTATCAATGCACTGATCTGCCACAAGGTCCCAGAGCTTGACCTTATGGTCACTCGATCTATGAGATTGAAAACGTCAAAGTGTCAGTGTCGAGTTCACTTCTGTGTACCTGGAATATTCATATCAGAAGCGAAAGTATGAAGATAATCACCAAGATCACAAAATAACTTACCCACTTGCAAGATGAACTCCATCGTTGCTCAATGCTACACTAATGACCCATGAGGAGTGTCCTGAAAGTGCACGGATAGTATCGCCATGAACGCTGTCAAACAACAACAAGTCTCCATGACATTAGTAGGCTGGAGATATCAATAGGTGTAGTTATTCTCTCCCATATAAACAGGTTTCAACATACGTATCGTAGATCATGATGCGGCCGTCGTCAGAACCTGAGACGAGCTTTGTCGAGTCTGGGGAAAATGCAATCGATCGCACTGTCATGGCATGGCCTATTTGTTGAAAGAACGATTTCCACATTGCGTCAGTCACCATTACGTGTGTTTTAGTTGCCTCAATATCCACTGGCCCAGGATGAACAAAGAAGTTCTCGTTTTACCTTTGTAGCTGTGCAAGAGCTTTCCAGTAGAAGCTTCAAAGAGGAGAACCGTTGCCGAGTCTGATGCAGCCTCTGTACCACAAGCGACATAAGCGCCATTGGGGCTCTGTTTTCAGTAGGGGATGTAAGAATAGGGAATCCAAAGTCAGATATACCCCAGAGGTTCAACATACTTGCAGCCACTGTAAAATATAACATGACTGTGTTTCCTTACCCATGCGACACACATGGCAAAGTGTCCACGACCTTCAAATGTCTTCTCCTTGGCGCCAGTCTCGACGTTGTACAGGTGAAGATTGCCTGAGGACGATCCTGTCAAGATTTGGGTGGCATCAGGTGAAAACTTGGCGCCCCAGGCTTGCACTAGCAATTGTTGAATTTTGATGTGAAGCGAGGTATGGGTCAATATCATTTGTATAGGAAAGTATTCTGGTCGTCGAACGATCTTAGGTACTCCCGTTTTTCTTTGCTCACATACTAGGTTCAATCTCAAGCACCTTCTTTTGTTGCAAGGTGGCCAAATCCCAGATTCTGACCTGACTATCTAGTGAGGTCGAGACGGCAACTATGAGAAGGATTGTGAAAGACAATTGATTAGCACGTCATAAATACGGGTCCATCGATCCGTCTCTCCATATTCTTCATTCTAGCATAATTGTGTCTTACGCGTGCCGTCCTCATTGACATCGACTGAGTTGACGGCAAGATGGTGTCCTGAGAGAGTGCCCTTCAGCTCGCCTGTTTCTCCATCCCTATTATAATTGTAACACATGGTTGACACGTTAATCCTTTGCATTTTCTTCATTTAAATGCTCCAACGCGAGAATATCAGCTACTTTTAAGAAAATGGACATACCAGACTTTGAGTGTGCTATCGGCCGAACCAGTGATGACCTCGTTCTTGGCTGACCATGCGACGCACCAAATCTCGTCGTCGTGTGCTATTGAGTCAAAAGTCACATTCCAGACGCGTTAGAAGAGAATTCGTTTCTAAGAATACCATTCCTCTTTTTCCCTTTTGTAACGATCGTGGGACCCCTGTGCCAGACAAACATCCTGCGGTTCGTACCGTTCTCTTTGACAAGGCTGGTGAGAAACTGGGTGGGCTATTGTGGACATGTGTTTGTGTGTGTCAATGGATGCATTTAGTGGTCTTGTCCGTGTCCAGAATGATGTCTTCTAGCATGCATCCATATTGCTTGTTACCATGGTGTAGAACGGCTGTGTCCTGTCGAGAAAGGTCTGATGCGAATGCCCGCCTTTGGGCAGCCTAACAAGGTTGCTTCAGACTTTTTGGTTGCGCCCCTCTACCAAGCCACTTGGAGATCAGGAACCCATTAAGGAGATTTTGAGTGAGCAATGACGGAGTAGGGGCATTCACATTGCTTTTTGTTTCCGTTCCTTCATTGTTCTTTCCGCTTCTGTTCTCCCTCCGCCTGCCCCACACTTACTTTTAGTTTCCTTTTCCTCTGGGGGCCTACTCTCTCCTTCTTTTTCCTCTCCATTACTTATTGTCATGTCCAAGCAGCTCACCTCTGCACTGGCACGCAATGTGCTTCCCCTTTCCCGGTCCCTGGCTAAGAAGGCCCATTGGGCTCAGCCTATGGTGTCCCGCATGAACAAGCACCAGCAGGCTACAGCTCAGTCAGAGGTCCTCCAGGTAATAACGTTATCGAGCTAGCATGCTTCATATGTCGAATATCCATATTTTGACAGGAACGATTTGTGCATCGGAGCATAGAAGGTCAACACAAGGAAGCTGCGCGATCCGTTTTCATTCTTCCTTTCTCCTTTTATGTCTGTCTGTCTGTCTTTATAGCTGCACAGACTATAAGTGAAATGTGCATTTTACTTAGATATAACTCATATTATTCCTTGATGACTATATACTTAGACTTCAGATCAGCTCAGGGCCAAGGCGTCCTCACCATCCACATCGACAACAGGAGCAAAAGGCGCCGAGACCAAGGTCACCCAACTTCCAAATGGCGTGCGTGTAGCTACAGAGAACTCGGGCGGTCACTTTGCCTCACTGGGTGTCTATGTTGACGCCGGATCGCGCTACGAAGATGATGCCACTCGTGGTGTCAGCCATATCCTAGATCGTCTTGCCTTCAAGGTAAATTAATTCTTTTTTTGAGGGTTATATGAATCAGCAGCACAATGGAAGGATAAGGCTGTTGAAATTATGAAACATTTGTACTAAAATGAACATTTTGTATTTCACTCACTCTCTTTAGAGCACAAAGAACCGATCGAACGAGAAGATGATGGCGGATCTGGAAGCAGCGGGCGGCAACGTCATGTGTTCGAGCTCTCGCGAATCCATCATGTATCAGTCAGCACTACTGCCTCAGGATCTGCCCAAGATGCTGGAGATTATGGCGGACACGATCCGTAACCCTGTCATCACCCCCGAGGAGCTGGAAGATCATAAGGTGTCTGCAGGACATGAGATTCAGGACTACTGGTCCAAGCCAGAAATGATCCTTCCCGAGCTGCTGCATACAGTCGCTTATAACAACAAAACGCTCGGCAACCCACTTTTGTGCCCGATGGAAAACCTGGAGACAATGACACCAGCAAACATTGAACAGTATCTTCAGCGGTGGTACCGATCTGACCGCATCGTCGTTTCAGCCATTGGTGCTGACCATGAGAAAGTGGTCGAATTGGCCGAAAGGTGCTTTGGCGATATGAAGAGCTCCAAGGATGACAAGGCATCGACCAACACAACAACTTCCTCTTCTTCCAAGGGCGGTGTTTTCTCATCCCTTTTCGGCAAAAAGTCTTCAAAGGTTTTGATCCCCGGTGACGGTGATGGTCAGCAACGCGAGGCGGCCCAATACACGGGCGGTACAATGCTCATCGAGGACGATACCCAACCTTTTACGCACCTGTATGTGGCCTTTGAGGGTCTCTCAATTCATGACGACGATATCTACGCACTGGCGACGCTGCAGCTGTTGATGGGTGGTGGCAGCTCGTTCTCGGCTGGAGGTCCAGGCAAGGGCATGTACTCACGACTGTTTACAAATGTGTTGAACCACTACAACTGGATCGAGTCGTGCATGTCTTTCAACCACTGCTACTCGGACTCGGGTCTTTTTGGCATTTCAGGCTCATGTTACCCTGGTTACGAGTCGATGCTGTTGGAGGTCATTGTCCGCGAGCTGGAGCTGACGACTCGGACGACCGGACGGGGTAGCATCCAGCAGAACGAGCTGGATCGGGCCAAGAACCAGCTGCGATCGAGTGTTTTGATGAACCTCGAGTCCAAGATGGTGCAGCTCGAGGATCTCGGACGGCAAGTTCAGGTCCACGGCTATAAGGTTCCTG